GGAACATGCTCTTTTGCTGAACAGACCTGCTGCAGAGCCTCTCCGTGAAAAAAGTGAGTTAAATATAATATGATGGCACACTAGGAAGATGAAGAGAAAACTATATGTGTCCGGCTATTTTCCCAGTGACCATCGGTATGCCCTAAATATACTTTAATTCCCCCAAAATAAAACTCTAGAGACAAGACTAAATTTAACCAATTAGGTTTACTGAACAATCAAGGTATAAACAAAACAAGGTATAAAGGTGCAGTTTGATTTTTGATGGTATAGAATTACAATAATAAGGAACAGGTATAAGGTATAACTGAGGTAAATATAAATAACAGGAGGCTATGAGATATAATGGTGGTATGTGCTCTGAGGTAACAACTATATTTTCTATAAGGTAAGCACTCTCTATAAACTCTGGGGCATGTACTATTTAATCTATATGGCAAATACAGATGAATTCTTTATAAAATATACTATAATCTATACACTCTAAGGCAAATACATTCTAATCTATGAGGCAAATATACATCTATATTCTTTGGGCAAATACAACTATTCTCTATGTTCCCTGAGGCATGTATGTACTAAGGATTGCCTGTTCAGACTGCTAGGCCAGACCAGACACTTTCTGGCTAACTACTACAAGCTATGTCCAAACAGAATGAAAACAAAAAGTCTTTCCCCCAAGCTCTGAGTCAGAATGGGCTGAACCAACAGAGCTCGGCCTCTAGGGGGATCCTAAGCTCCTACTCCAAAACTTAGCAGAATAGAACAGTCCACCTCCAGGGAGCAAACAGAGGGGTAAAAACTAGGCCGAGACTTCACATATAACTTACCCAAGGCTATAAGAGCTGGAAATAACTTTAGCTAAAGAACCATAGAACAGATTGGTTTACTTTCATACCAAATATGCAATATCAGAGGCTTTAAAAAAGCATTTAAAAGCTCCAAACTCCCAAACGCTCTCCGAGATAGCAAACCCCGCTGCTAGGAGCTGCCAGGAGATAAAAGACCATCTGGCAATCGTGCAGTGAGGAAACAGTTTGCAAGAAAGGAGCATTTCGGAATGGCTTCAGAGACCCTGAATTCCACTGATTCCGAACTGGATAAATTGATGGAAATGGTCCGAGGGCTACAAAACTCAATGGGACATCTTGCCCTTGAGGTCAGAGACACTAAAGAGCAGGTACAGCTCTTACTTCAGAAGCAGATAGGGTCTGAAGCTAAGATAAAAGCCCTAGAACAAAATTTACAGTTTCTCAATCAGAAAGTAACAGATTTGGACAATTGCCAGAGACGCAGAAACATTATCCTATCAAACATACCAGAGTACGTAAGCGATAAAGATTTGATCAAATCCTTGACTCAATGGTGGGGAGAATTTGGAATGCCAGCTTCACCTGAGGATATTGAACGTGCACACAGAATACCGTCATATGTAAAGAAAGATAAAAACCAGCAAAAACAAAAACAAAGACCAAGGTCAGTGATAATTGCCTTCGCCAGAGAACCTACTTTTTTAAAAGTTTACAAATCCCTGAGGAAAGTACAGGACTTAAAGTATAATGGAAACAAGGCAATAGTCTTTCAGGACTTAGCAAAATCTACTAGAGAAGAAAGAGCTTCACTCAAGGTCGTCACAGACAGACTCAGAACAGAGAAGATTATGTACACCTGGGCTTTTCCAGCAACCATCGTTATCTATAAAGGAGGGGAAAAAACTCACTGAGAGAACTCCACAAGAGGGAATCAAGCTTCTAAGGGACCTGAACTTAACTTGTCCTTCACCCGAGAGACACTCAGCTGAAGCAGAATCAGATGGGGGGATTGATGCAATAACTGAGGAAGATGAAGATGAAGAAGGATCTGGATCACACTTGAAGACAGAACATTAAAAAAAAAAGAAAGGCCTTAAGGAAAAAAACTGTGAAACATCCTGCATCTTCATACAGGCACCGATCAAGAAGGAATGAGCTGGGAAAAGAAGGCTGATGCTGCTTCCAGGGATAGTAAAAGGGGATTTAGAACGATACTTAATGAGATAAGGAGATAAGGGGGGGAAAGTAAAGTAAAAGCAGGAAGTATGGAGGTCAGAATTCAAAGGAAAAGTAGAGTCTAAGATACGGGTGGGAATGTACAGAATTATTGGGTGTTGTATAGGTTAAGTGTCAAAACACGGAAGGGGAAGTTGCGGCAGGGGACTCTGCCCCTATGATACTCTGGATGGGTGTGAGGAGGTTCTTCCGAGCAGCCCCGCCATCAAGGACGGGGTCAAAGGATCCAGAGGGGGGAAGCTAAGGGCTTTAGGTCAGGGACCAGGAACAGCTACAAACAAGAATAATTATAGATGTATAAATATGTGAGAGGAAGCCACAGGGAGGAGGGAGCAAGCTTGTTTTCTGCTTCCTTGGAGACTAGGACGCGGAACAATGGCTTCAAACTACAAGAGAGGAGATTCCATCTGAACACAAGGAAGAACTTCCTGACTGTGAGAGCCATTCAGCAGTGGAACTCTCTGCCCCGGAGTGTGGTGGAGGATCCTTCTTTGGAAGCTTTTAAACAGAGGCTGGATGGCCATCTGTCGGGTGATTTGAATGCAATATTCCTGCTTCTTGGCAGGGGGTTGGACTGGATGGCCCATGAGGTCTCTTCCAACTCTTTGATTCTATGATTCTATGAGTGGAAGTGACCTGGAGAAATGGAGGGGAAAATACACATCGGATCAATGGGGGATCAATTAATTTTTTTATCGGTTAATGTGAATGGGCTTTTGTCTCTGTTTAAAAAGCAAAAAATTACCAGGCTGTTAATGGCATATGCCTAATTCAGGAAACCCACAAAAAAAGGACAGAACAAAACTGTTGTACCTAAAAGGATGGGAATCACAATATGAATCCCGGGGGACAAATAAGTCACGAGGAGTGGCAATCTTAATAAAGGACCTTCATAGATTTGAGTTAGAGAAAAAAAAAATAGAAGATAAGGAAGAACGATTTGTGATGATAAGGGGGAAATTAAACAATAATTAGATCACTATAGCAAGTATCTACGCCCCTAACAAAAATCAGTCAGGATTCATACAAAAGTATTGTGCCAAAATTGAAAAGCAAGCAAAAGGAAATATAATCATCGGGGGAGATCTTAACATGGAACTGTATAAACAAACAAAAATAAGGACGAACCCAGCAAGGCTTGAATGTAAAAGTAACTTCAAAAAATGGAACCTTACAGAAGCACACAATAGAATAGGAGAGGAGGGAACAACCCCAACCTTTTACTCACATAGGCATGCGAAATTCACTGTAATAGACTACTTCATAGTAGGAATTAACAATATACGACTAATAAAGGAGATCAAAGTGGGGAACCACTGGCCAGGAGATCATGCTCCACTCCTATTAAAATTAGGGAACTCAGGAAGCCTCCAAGGAATTGGAAATTCAATCCAAAGGTAATCTTTAATGAAAAGGATAAACAAGTCATTAAACAACAGATTCAAGAATTCTGTCTATTTGACAACCACAAATAAAAGAAGAGATTTTATGGGACGCTTTTAAAGCAACCATAAGGGGAACTTGTATCTCACTGGAAATAGGAATCAATAGGAAAAACAAGTATACATTTGAGAAAACAAGATCAGAGGTAGAGGATGCATTCCTATGTTTCCAAAAAAACCCATCGGTTAAAAATAAAGCAAACTGGAAAGAGAAAAAGCAGCAACTGGAGGACTTAGATAAAATACACACCACAAAAAATACCTATGGGTTAGAAATGATTATCAAATTAACTCAATTAATAATTCAAAAAGACTGGCTAGAGCCCTAAAATCAAAACAAGCTAGAAGCAGAATACTCAAGCTAAAAGATGACAGAGGACATCTGAGATCATCAGATAAGGAAATCAGTGAGATCATGGCTAGCTACTATGAAAAACTTTACGAAGTCAAAGAATAAATCAAATGAGATGGCCTCTTGGAAAAATTCATAAATTCACAGTCACAAACCAATCTAAAAGCACAATAACCAACTCAGAAATTGAAAAAGCGATAGAAAGCCTAAAAGCAAACTCATCACCTGGGTCAGATGGCTTCACAACAAATTTTTATAAAATATTCAAAGGGGAAATCACACCGAACCTATTTATACTATTTAATGAAATAATGGAGAGGCAAAAAGTGCCAAATTCCTGGAAATTCTCCAAAATCCATACAATCTTAAAACCAAATAAGGATGAAACTGATCCTAACTCTTATAGACCAATATCCCTTTGCAAAATATTACTACAAAATATTTACTAAAATTTTAGCAAGCAGAATGAAGGGACATAATACTGGAAATAATTCATGATGAACAATACGGATTTATAAAAAACAGAAAATTAAAGGACCCTATAAGGAATATATTGAACATTTTGAACCATGCCACAGAAAGTACCATAGCTTCTAAGCACTGTATGACGCCTGTATGACACCTTTTCAAATTTGTGTGTGGCATCAAGCCCGATATCTCCCATTAGATCTTAAAGATTGAATTTTGATGTGTAGTCCTTCAGAGTAGTACTTACATTTGTACAGAAGGTCATTGAGATTTCTTCTATGTGCTGACTAGCGTTTTGCAATAACTGTGCCCCCAACTACCATTTTGTGGCTGGCTGTGTGATTGTGCCTCAAGCCTTATTTTACTGCTCCCACGCTACCAATTTGCAGTTGGTTTCAGATTATAGTATTGAGGCTACAAGTTTGTGGTTTTTAAAGGAATTAAAATATCAGATATTGCAGAGTCCTTAAAATCTGTGTCGAGTTTTAAGGAAAGATCTACATTTCTGCACAATTCATGAATAAGAGTTTTCTCATCTTGATGTGTTGCTGCATTCATCTTGAATATTGTTTTTCAATAGATGATGTTAAATTCAGCCCAACTTTTGTTGACAATTCTAACTGCACTAGTGTGTGTTTTTAAACAAAATAGTATTCTGGCAAATTTATTTTACATATTTTCCATTTCTAGAGACGTGCAGCTGATAATTTGAGAAGACATCATCAGTACCAGGTAACCAGTCTTTCAAATATGACATCACACACAATGGAATGTACAGACTGGCCCGGCTTCCCTCAACCTTTTACCTTCCATTTGTCTTGGACTACTGTTCTATCTCCCCCATCCAGCATGGCCAATAGGACAGATGAAAACAAGGAAAGGAGGTCATGACAGTGTTCAAATTGCAAATTTCAATTCAGTATCAGAAAGAAAACCCACAATGGTTAGGAAAAGTTGGACAGGGGTGTCAGTTGCCCAGAAAAGTTCTGATTTTCTCTTTCACAATGGCTGCAGAACTCTGAACATTTATTTATATGAAAGAGTAATTGAATTCAGTGGGACATGCTAGTGCACAGATTTGGAGGTGTAAGAATAACTTTAAAATGTTTAATCTATAATGTTTGTTCTATTATTCTAACAATATGAGAGGCAGTGTAACTCACGAATGTGACTGGTAACTTGGAGACCTTATTGGCTGATAGGAATTTGAACCTGTGTTACCTTTCAAAACTCTCCAAGTCCTGAGATTTCCAGGCCAAAACCTGAGAACAGAATTGGGGGTTTTGTGATGATGCAGACTGACTGGACATGCAGGAAATGCATCTGGTTGATAAAAATAATCAGTATGAATGTTCATGATAGGATAATACAAGGGAACTCTTCACAATTATAAATGTGCACTATGTTCCTCCCCCTGTCCTCCAACCCCCTTCCTCTCTCCCAGCAACACACTAGAACTTTTTAAACACTTGATTTACTAATAATAACTCCACTTCCCCCATCTTCTTTCATCTTCATTTTCCCTGCCTTTCACATCAGCCCCCCCCCCCTCTTTGTGTGGAAAAATTGAAATATTCAAAATGATGATGATGATGATGATGGTGATTTAGAAAATGAAAATGGGTCTGGTAATTATACCACCTGCTTTGGAGTTTTGGCTGCAGAGGTTGACTTTCTATCAGGTAAAAGGAACCTGGTAGCTCCAATTCAGCTCACAGCAACTTCCTATCAGTCACTCAGTATTGCTTTCCACCCTTGCTATTATATGCTACTAGTAGTTCTGCTGCTTTCACCCAACTGTAAAATAGCCAAAGGGCTCCAGAATTCCTTTCTACTCAATATAAAAAAACAATACTGGCTTTGTCACATAGTTACTTCAACTTTGGACTGTTAGATATAGATCAATGATTTTTGTGTACAAGTATGGCCCAGTAGACAAAGTAAACGTGTTGGCCCTTTAGCATAACTCAGGACTATGTCTGTTCTTGTTTTATTGTATTTTAAAGTTAATTGTATTGTTTTAATCTATTGCTGTAAACCGCCCGACCCAAATTGGAAGTATGCAAGTCAAATAAATAAATAAATAAATAATTCTTTTTCAAAATTTCAAAATTAGTTTTATATAAGCAAGAACTTACTTACCCCATCTAAAGTCAAGCTTCAGCGAACCCATCTCTTCTTTCCCACCACATATTTCAGCTTCTATGGGTTTGAATTTGATTCCAAAATAATGACCAGTTGGCAGCTGCACCACAATTTATTTATTCTTCTGTTTTAACAGTGTGGTCATCAAAAGCAAAAGAAAGTGTTTATTGATGTTACTGTTATCATGCTAGGCATGATAACACATTCAACTGTTTTTAATCTTTCAGGAGGTCATGAGAAATCTGGTTAAGAGATATGTGGCAGCAATGATAAGAGATGCTAAAACTGAAGAGGGGCTGACTGAAGAGAATTTTAAGGTAATTCCTGCCATATTGGAGGACCTAGTAATAGTGGATCAGAATTAAGGAGTTGCAGAAAAAGAAAAGAATAATCTTAAGAATTGAGAATAGTTATGTTCTCTATAGATAAAAGCAAGCATTTACCATATTTTCTGGCGTATAAGACGAATGGGCATATAAGATGACCTCCAACTTTTACAGTTCAAATATAGAGTTTGGGATATACTTGCCATATAAGACTACTCCTCTTCCAACACACACCAAAAATTTAAAAAACATCAGATTTAATTTCATATGGTAATTTTCCTATTACCATACCTCCTTCTCTGCCTCTCAGATCTCACACATGCGTGCCTGCGCCGCTTTACTGCAGTCCTCAGGAGCGAGATCTAAGAGGCAGAGAAGGAAGTACAGTAATAGGATACAAGGGTGGGCCAGACAGGTGAAAGATGCGTGTTTTTCTGGGCACAGCATCGCTCTATCTCTTTTTTCCATACCTCAGGAGTCCTGGATGCCTGCAACTTGCTCAGCCCTTCACTTACACCTTCCCGGTGAGGCGTCCCCTCACCTTGTCATCAGGACCATGTTAAGTCATTTCTTTCCACGAATCCTGTTGAGTGGATTTTCTTCTACCGTACTTGTACAGCACCACCCTTGCTGTTTTCATACGCATGCTCCACATGCTGCGGGGATGCAGCCACGGCAATTTTTGAGCGCCCACTGCAGATTCTCCAGTCCGGCTCAGAAGTTTCAGCACTTGCCCTATAAGATGACACCTGATGCATGAGATGACCCCCGACTTTTGAGAAGATTTTCCTGGGTTAAAAAGTAGTCTTATACGCCAGAAAATACAGTAATATTAATAATGTTTTTAAATGGATTTTAACTTAATGGTTTAACTTAATGGTAATGTTGTGATATATTGTGTGTGTATTCTGTATGTGTTGGCATCAAATTGTTGCCATTGTAAGCCACCCTGAGTCCCCCTTTGGGGGTTGAGAAGGACAGGGTACAAATGTTGGAAATAAATACATATTTAAATAATTCAAATAATATTTTTAAATATATCCAGCTCAGTTTAATTTATTCAGCACTGAACCAATAGCTACAAGCAAATTTCATAAAAAAGAAGGAATTAAAAAAAACTTCAGGTGACATCTACTTAATAATAATAATAATAATAATGATAATACTTTATTTATACCCCGCCACCATCTCCCCAAGGGGACTCGGGGCAGTTTACATGAGACCAAACCCAGAAATACAGTAAAACAACATAACACAAGAACACAGCAGAAAATAAAGAAATTAAAAAATAAAATACAAAAACCAATATAAATAAACAGATCAGACAATATAAAATCAGAACATTAAAACACAGAAAATTGATCATAGTGGGCAGGGCCAATTACAAAAGATTAAAATTTAAAACACTGGGTGAGAGAGCAATGTAATGTATCAAGGACAGGGGATCGAGGGGATAAAGTAGGGTTTAATTGCACTAACAGGTAAAATAAAGTGCTTCCGAGGGCATTTTATGCAGGGTTTGGTCAGGGATTATTGTATATTCAATCATTGAAGGCACACTGGAATAGCCAAGTTTTCAGGCTCTTCCTAAAGACTGCCAGGGCTTGCCTAATATCTCTGGGAACGAATTCCAGAGCTGAGGGGCCACCACAGAGAAGGCCCTCTCCCTCGTCCCCACAAGTCGCACTTGCGATGGAGGCGGGAACGAGTAAAGGGCCTCTCTGGAAGATAGAAGAGATCGTGTAGATTCATAGACGGAAATGTGGTCACGCAGGTAAGTGGGTCCCAAATCGTTCAGGGCTTTGTAGGTAAGAACCTGCACCTTGAATTGGGACTGGAAAATAAACAGCAGCCAATGGAGCTCTTTAAACGGGGAGGTTGACCGCGCCCTGTAATTCGCACCAGTTAGTAGTCTGGCTCATTGGACCAATTGGAATTTCTGGGCCATCTTCAAGGGCAGCCCTATGTAGAGCGCATTGCAATAGTCCAATCTAGAGGTAACTAAGGCGTGGGCCACCACGGCCAAATCCGACTTCATGAGGTGCAGTCATAACTGGCACATGAGCTTCAACTGTGCAAAAGCCTTCCCAGCCACCGCCGACGCCTGCGCTTGAAGCGTTAACAAGGAATCTAGGAGGACACCCAAGCTGCGGACCTGTGACTTTAGGGGGAATGCAACCCCATTGAGCATAGTTTGCCACCCTATACCACAATCCGGCCTGCAATTGACCTGGAGGACCTCTGTCTTGTCAGGATTGATCCTCAGCTTATTTGTCCTCATCCAGACTGTCACAGCGGCCAGGCACCCGTCCAGCATTCGAGGGGCTTTCTTGGAAAAGAGTAATAGAGTTGGACGTCATCTGCATAGAGATGGCATGAAACTCCACAACTCCAGATGACCTCTCCCAGTGGTTTCATGTAGATGTAGGTTAGAGATTGGCCTGTAGTTATTCAAAACCATGGGATCAAGGGAGGTCTTCAGGATTGGTCTCACTGCAGCCTCCTTCAGACCAGATGGAAATTTCCCCTGAGCCAATGATGCGTTAATAATCAACACAAACCAATCCAATAACCCACCTCTGGCCAATTTAATTAGCCAGGAAGGGCAAGGGTCCAGAGCCGATGTGGTCACTCTCACAACCCCCAGGACCACATCATCAGGACAAACAAGTCAAAAAGAATCCCACAAGATCGGACCAACAGATGCCTCAGTTATCTCTTCTGGCATTGCATTTAAACTGGCATCCAGCTGAAGGCGTACCTGTGCAACTTTATCTGCAAAATTGTGCACAAAATTGTAGCACCGAGTTGCTGAGTCCTCGAGGACCTCCCCCACCTTGGGAAGGTGGAGGAGCTCTCCAACGACCCAAAACAACTCAGAAGGTCTATTGGATGCAGATGCTATGCAGGCGGTCAAGAAGGTCTTCTTGGCTGCCCGCAGAGCCGCGGTATAAGCCCTAATTGAGACTCTGGCCTGAGTTCGGTCAGAGACACCCCAAGATTTCCTCCAGATGCACTCTAGTCTCCTTGACATACAATTCATCTCCACCAACTCCTCAGAAAACCAAGGGGTTGGTGTGACTCTGTGCAACAAGAGGGGACGTTCAGGGGCAATCGTGTCTATCACCCTAGCCAGCTTGCTATTGTGGCAATCAACCAGGGCATTGACAGGATGGTCAACCTCCATGACAGATAGAACCCCAAGAGACCTCAGGAATCCATCCGGATCCATCAGTCTCCTGGGGAGAACCATCTCAGTCAGTCCACCACCCCTGCGGAGGTTAGAGGTCACAGTGAGTCTAAAACTGATCAGATGATGGTCAGACCATGACAATGGAAGAATGTTTTCCTCTTCCACCCTTACCACACTGCTGTCCACAGGGAAAGGTAGGTCAAGTATACACTAGGTATCCAGCCTTATGGGTGGGTCCAGATACTACTTGTGATAGCCCCATGGTCGTCATGGCAGCCATGAAATCTTGAGCCGCTCCTGTTAATGTGGTCTCGGCGTGAATGTTAAAGTCTCCCAGTACAACCAAATGCTGGGAGACCAGAGCCAAATTAGAGACCGTGTCTGCTAGCTCTGGCAGGGAAACTGCTGTGTCGCAGGGTGGATGATACACCAGCAGAATCCCAAAGCTATCATGGGTTCCCACCTTCAGATGGACACACTCAAACCCGAGGACTGTGGCACAGCGCATTGGACATGGCCAACAAAAACTTGATCACCATACATGGACATGGTTTTGACATTTGTCCTCAACCCATTTTACTATAATTACAAATACAAGCAAAAATACAGTTATTTCCAATACCTTATTTGAAATACAGGAGAAATTCTTGACATTTTTGAGAATCTAATTAAGGCTATGGACCCGAGATGGATAAAATGAGTATGGAGCAATCAGTATCAGAAAAAGAGATAGGAGAAGCTATAGAGAAATTAAAAGTGGGACAACTCCAGGAACGGATGGGTTGAGACCTGAATAGTATAAAAAATTTAAATCAATTTTAGTACCAAAATTAAAAGACCTATATAATAGGATAATGGAAGGAGAACAGATCCCACCATCATGGCAAGAATCAAGGATCAGATTAATTTAAAAAACAAATAAAGATCAAACAGATTCTGGTTCATATAGACCTATTTCTCACACACATTTGATTTATTACAGTCTATGACCAGCACAACATAGAATGGGGCACAGGTGCCCAAGGAAGGGGAATCACAGTTCCCAAGTTGGTAAAATATAAACACAGATTAAACATGTAATAAAAAGAAAACATATTAAAAAAACAAGTTAAACTTACAGTTTAAAGAGCAGGTATGGGTCTAAAGGAGGGAGGTGGCTAATAGGAGATATCAAGCCACTGGGAGGCTCTGGAGGGGGATGAGAAAGGAACATTTACAGCATTTCAGTTATAACATATTACTCTAGCTGTATTCCCAGCAGGAAATTGCCTTGCGGGGTCAGTCACTGACCGTCTAATATTAATTGCTGCCTCACAGAACTTGGCAACACTGTGAGTTATTGCAGAACAGGAGTCCGAAAGCAGCAGGAAGGTGTAGTATCTTTCAGTGCGCCCTGGGTATTTTAAAAGCCATGGAGTGATGAGGTTAGTTCTAATGTCTCTGTAGAATACACATTGGAGGAGCACATGCTCAGTTGTTTCAATATAACTAGACTCACAAGGGCATAATTTCTCCTGGGCAGGGGTCTTCCGGTACCTCCCCTCCAGTACTGCTGATGAAAGGGCATGGCATCTTTCCAGAGTGAAAGCTCTTTGGTGTTTAGGCACCTCCAGGTTTGCTAAGTAAGCCATGGAAGTGATGATGTATCTATTACCTTCACTAATGTTGAAGGCTGGAGAGCAGGCTAAATCTGATTGCAGCTCTATATCCAGGATCCGTTGTCTAATGAGATCCTTAGCTTGGTTCCAGCCCATACTTAGCAGTTGTCCTTGAGAGAAGCCTAGAGTTGCAATTTTTGCTGCCACTGCCTTATTCCATGTAGACTGAAATTCGTCTCTTAGAGTTAGCGGGGCAAGACCACATGGTGAGAAACATAGATGCAGCCAGTAATTGAGGGTGGCTGTCCAGACTCTCACCTCCACTCTCACGAGGCCTGTCTCTAATTGCAGGGTGGCATTTGAGACACATCTGGGAACCTGCATCACCGATCTTAGGAATTTTGATTGTACCTGCTCCAGAGGGGCATAGTTTGAAAGGAGGCCGAGTTGGGCTTCATACAACATTTGTGTTATTGGTTTTGCTTCAAAGAGTTTAAGTGCTGCTGGTATGTAGTGGCCTCCTCCTGTCTTGAGAAACTTTAGGATAGCATATGAGCTCTTTTGCGCTGTCTCTGCTAAATAATCAGCATGTGTTTTCTTTTTTCCAGTGCAGTGGTAAAATACTCCCAGGTATTTAAAGCTTGAGTCCTGTTCAATAGCCTCCAGGTGTGGTACTTGGGTCATTTCGCAAACATCATAATTTTGGCATTTTGAAAATTAAGATGAAGCTGTTCTGTATTGCAATATTTTTGTTAGGGCTCTCAAGGCTCTTTTCAGGCCTACTTGAGTTCTGGATAGTAGCACTGTGTTGTCTGCATTGAGCAGGGTGGATATAGACCTGTTTCTCTTACAAATCAAGATGCTGATCTGGCCACGGTGGTCCATGCTCTGGTGACATCCTGAATCGATTACTGCAATGTGCTCTACGTGGGGCTGCCTTTGAAGATGGTTCAGAAACCTCAGCTAGTCCAACGAGCGGCAGCCAGATTACTAACTGGGGTGATGTACAGGGAGCATACCACTCCCCTGCTGTGCCAGCTCCACTGGCTGCCGGTCCATCTCTGAGCCCAATTCAAAGTGCTGGTTTTGACCTATAAAGCTCTATACGATTCTGGCCCAGCTTACTTGTCTGAACGCATCCACCCCTACGTCCCACCTCGTAATCTAAGATAATCCAGGGAGGCCCTGCTCTCGCTCCCATCAACAGCACAAATGCATCTGGCAGGAACAAGAGACAGGGCCTTCTCGGCTGTGGCCCCCCGCCTATGGAACACACTCCCAAAAGAGGTAAGATATGCTCCCTCCCCCCTGGCTTTTAGAAAAAATTAAAATCATGGTTCTGGGACCAGGCCTTTGGACAGTAGGTGTATGTAGCATTTTAGAGGGACATTGACTAGAACGCCGATGTGACTGATGAGACTGTTTTATTGTTTTAATGCTTGTTGATGTATTGTTTTAATTATGATTTATGTTTAATTGTGGTTTTACTATTGTAATTGTTTGTATTGGCATCGTATCAGTGCCCAATGTAGGCATTGAATTTTGTCATTATTTATGTGTAAACCACTTTGAGTCTCCCCAGGAGTGAGAAAGGCGGTATATAAATTTGGGGAAATTACAGGCCTTAAAGTTAATTGGAATAAATCAGAAATCTTATTATTTAACCACAATAAAGATGAAGAGAAATTAAGAGAAGGGAGATTGGGTAGAATAAAAACAAAGAACTCAATAAAATATTTAGGAAATAATATATCTAAAGCAATCGAGAATCTAGAAGGAGATAACTTAATCAAATTAAGGAAAAACGTTAAAGATATTCCGGCTCAATTTGCCAAGCTTAAATTTTCGTGATTTGGCAGAATAGCTTTAATAAAAATGAAAATATTACCTAAAATAAACTTCTTGTTTAGGATGCTACCTATTAAAATTTCAGCAGGAGAAATTACAAACTGACAGAATATGATAAACAGCTTCTGTAATGGGAATGAAAGAGCTAGAATTAATAAGGAAATGTTATAAAATACAAAAGACGGGAGGTTTGGGAATACCAAACTTAAAATTATACTACATAGCAAAACAGTTAAGGTATATTGTTGAAGGGATTATGGGTCAAAGTGATTTAGAATGGTTAGAAGAAGAGAGTGAAGACATAGATATGAAACTAGAATATATTTTCATCATAGGGAAAACCAGGAATTTGGAGAAGAAATGGTATAACAAAATAGAGAACCTTTTAAAAAACATATTAGAAATATGGTCTAAGTACAAAGAAAAATTAATACCGACCATCTCCCCATTAACTCCAGTGTTAATTACAAATAACTTTCCTATAAATCTCAAAAAGGAGTTAGAAAGAGAATTAAAAGAAAAAGGAATAATGAAATTAAAAGACTGGGAACCAAAGATGAAAAATATAGAGGAGATAAAGGACCAATTATTAGGAGGAAGTATTGGGTGGTATAAAGCTCTACAATTGGAAAATGGTTAAGGGGCATAAGAAAATAAAGTAATACACCCTCAAAACTGGAAAGGAATGTGGAATATATGTATATTAAAATAGGTCAATAAGAATAAAAGAGAATCTTAGAATCATAGAGTTGGAAGAGACCTCATGGGCCATCCTGTCCAACCCCCTGCCAAGAAGCAGGAACATTGTATTCAAAGCACCCGACAGATGGTCATCCAGCCTCTGTTTAAAAGCTTCCAAAGAAGGAGCCTCCACCAAACTCCGGGGCAGAGAGTTCCACTGCTGAATGGCTCTCACAGCCAGGAAGTTATTCCTAATGTTCACAGGGAATCTCCTTTTTTGTAGTTTGAAGCCATTGTTCCATGTCTTAGTCTCCAGGGCAGCAGAAAACAAGCTTGCTCCCTCCTCCCTATGACTTCCTCTCACATATTGATACATCGCTATCATGTCTCTTCTCAGCTTTCTCTTCTTCAGGCTAAACATGCCCAGCTCTTTAAGCCACTCCTTTTAGGGCTTGTTCTCCAGACCCTTGATCATTTTAGTCGCCCTCCACTGGACACATTCCAGCTTGTCAATATCTCTCTTTAATTGTGGTGCCCAGAACTGGACACAATATTCCAGGTGTGGTCTAACCAAGGCAGAACAGAGGGGTAGCATGACTTCCCTGGATCTAGACACTATACTATTGCTGCAGGCCAAAACCCCATTGGCTTTTTTTGCTGCCACATCACATTGTTGGCTCATGTTTAACTTGTTGTCCACAAGGAGCTCAAGATTGTTTTCCCACATATTGCTCTTGAGCCATTCGTCCTCCATTCTGTATCTTTGCATTTCATTTTTTCTACCTAAGAGGAGTATTTTGCATTTGTCCCTGTTGAACTACATTTTGTTACATCTCTCTAATCTGACAAGATGATTTTGAATTCTGCTCCTGTCTTCTGGAGTATTGGCTATCCCTCCCAGCTTGGTGTTGTCTGCAAACTTGATGATCATGCCTTAGAATGCCTGAGTATGCTTGCCATAGATGCAGGCGAAACATCAAATGTCAGGAGAGAATGCTTCTAGAACATGGCCATATAGCCGGAAAAACCTACAACAACCTAGGAACAGTTTTTTTTTCATATTTTGTTGCACAGCATAATCTGTCAAATTATGATGGGATTATTACTTTATATGTAGCTCCCATCAATTTTGTGGGCAGCACCTGACAAAACAGAACATGTGTATATAGGGAACAGGAGCTATTCTCAGTTATGAAACTTTTATGATATTGTCTATCCTGAACACTTACAGTCAACCACATGTAGCCTCCCTCCATAAGTTTCCATTGTCCATCGTCACAGGTTTTAAAGTAATTGCTGAAATTGCAATGCTATGGTTGTTCAAAATAAACAAAATGAATACATGTTGCTTGAAAATCAGATTACGTGTAACATTTTCTAAGCTATAACTCTCACTCATTTTATTCTATATTTCTAGGAGTTAAAGCAGGATATTTCTAGCTTCCGCTTTGAAGTACTGGGTCTGCTAAAAGGAAACAAGCTGCCTAATTTGCAGTCCTCGAAAAACAGCAGAGAATCTTCTTCTTTGCCGGAGTCTGATGAAGGCAGTGAAAATGGGGGGAATGAGAAGGCTAAAAAGAAGCCCCTTAGCCTCTTTGACTTAACTACAATGATTCGCCCCAGAGTCGTGACCAGAACCTCTGGAGCACACAGCCAGAGCAACGGGTCAGCAGTGGTGGCATTGGAGGCCACCAAGGAAAAGCAAAAGAAAGTGAACTTTAAGGCTGATGCAAAGAAGTTTGGGTTCTTCCACAGACAGTCAAAAACCAGCTCCACTGAGCACAGCACAAACAAAATCTACTCCATTTCAGAAGAAGTTTCGCGGCAACAAGCAGATGAACAAAGTGAGAAAGTCCCTGAAATGGGAGAGAAAACATTAGTTGTGAACTATGAACTAAACATTCAGGATCTCAGCGGAAAGTGCTCTGCAGGCACTAAAACACAAACTAAAAATGACACTTTAGATTCTGTCTTGGATGACAAGGCAACTTCTTCTGAAACTAAGGAGGCTATGATTCAGGACTCAGATCTGACCATACCAAAGGACTTGATGGAGAAGGAGCAGGATATCAATAGTGATTCCACTGTGAAACAAGAGACAATTGTTCAGGATAATTATTTGACCACAAGGTTGTGATGACAGCAGTCTGAGCTTAAAAATACGTATATTACATTATTTGGGATGATACTTAAAACTACATCAGACAATAGAAAATCAAAGCATTCAGAATTGTTGGAGATGAACTTGTAACATAATTCTATGAAAGAAAATAAAGAGAAAAAACTTCTGTTTTGCTTTAGCTTTCACAATTTCTTTTACATTTTTTTATTAAATGGGAGCATCTTGTATTCTTGTACTGTTGCAATAACCCACAGAAACTTTTTAGCTATCTTTTTTCAATTAAAAAATGGAATTTCTCTGTGATAGTTAATGCCTATGGTAAATATTTTTCTATGCAAATAAATGTAGCTTAACAAATGTAAGCTTTATGGACATTTAAAAAAAGATTCTTAATTATATGGGCAGGTTTAAGAATTCTAGGTGTTTTCTGTCCAAAAATATTTTAGTAGTTTGAAATGTTAAGTTACAAATAAAATTTGAAACAAAGACCAAATCAATCTCTTGAAAGTGGTTAATATTTGTAATTTAGAGCTCATTAATCATGTTGCTAATTCTGTTAGCATTCCCTATATTATTTGGTTGTTCTGCACATAATAAACATTACAACTGGCCTTCCTAAGTTTATAACTAGCACCACAGTAATAGAAATATTATTTCTTTATTGGGTGTCATCTACTTGAAATAACATTGCTCCCGAACATTTTCCAGCCAAAAATAGTGCTTATTTTCCTAACCTTGCATACATCTCTCTGTGAAATGAATTAAAGAAAAACGGACTCGACTTTTCAAAGCTTTCCTGCCAATTCTTGTAATAGGAGTTCTGCCCTCCTCAGAGACAGCCAAGGAAATGTGTATTTTCAAGCCTGGATTAATCAATCACAAACCAAGGTTATTTCAGATCACTGCAGTATTGAGGGGTGTCTTTGGTCCCTTCTGTTTTCATAATTCTGGGGTGTTGGACTGCTTTAAAATATCCCCCTTTGAAATACTACAAAATTATGACAATCCTTAGAAATCTCTTTTTAAATACAATCTTGACAGATCAGTTTCTTGCTGAGATGTTAGTGGCCTCTTTTCTGATTGTTTGCACAATAAATATGTTGGTTTTGAAATGTATATTATTAATCTAAGAGTATTTTCATAAGTCATTTCCTGTCAGCAGTTTTTAAAATTAAATTATCTGTTTATTTCTCACCTGCGGCTGGTGGTGTTCAATATTACAAACAAACAAAAAAGGATAAGAATGAAATACATTCACACGTGAACATCTGTTGTCATAAACTTAAGCACTCCAGCTGTGTTTCATTTTGTTGTATCACTAATGGGGAAAGTATATTAATGACAAAACAGGGTATTATCATAAAATGTCCTTAAATGACAGTAGTTAGTATAGAGAGAGAGAGAGAGATCAAGATATAATGTCTGTTTAGCAGGAATACTCACTTGTTCAAATAGCTTCTCCATATAGCACACATGACAGTAATAATAGGTGTCTAGATCGAGGAAAGTCTTAGTCACACTCTATTCTGCTTTGGTCAAACCTCACCTGGAATACTGTGTCCAGTATCCACAATTCAAGAGGGATATTGACAAGCTGGGATGTATCCAGAAAAGGGTGACCAAAATAATCAAAGGTTTGGAAGCAAGTCAGAACAGAGTGAAACTGTCTCAGCTTGATCAGGAGTGAAGAAAAATAAGGTGAAACCATCTTTACCTCCCTCTGGAAACTAGAGTAAATGGATTTTCATGGATCTTCACCCCCTCCTCCCTTTCATGTTCTCTGGCAACAAGAAACTGTAACACTTAATGGCAGTTGGATGTTAAATTATTTTGGATGGAATAATCCTCTGACCTTGCTTATAATGGAACTTATTACCTCATCACATGGAGCATTTTCCCCATGGACACTTTAGGTCCATTTCAAGGACAAAATGGCATAGAGCCCATCAGATGGCATTTGTCTACTCCCAGTTGTCATCCATTGCCTTTCATCCTTGCAATGGAGCTGAAGCATGCTGAAAGGAGAGAGTTCAGAAGATGAGTGATAAATCATGTTCTGAGCCCCTGGTGCACACCAGAACATGTAATGGGATCTCACAATTTCACCTGTGTTAAATTGTTTCAGTTATGTGGAGGAGTGCGCACCCCTCGCCACTTTGCTTTCACTGCATTTTCTCTTTAGTAGTAATCTAGGCTCAAAATGTTGCTTTTGCTAGCTTTTTAACATAACACTGACCTAATGAAGAGAAGGGAAGCCTAGCAGGAGGGGATCATAGCAAAGTGGTTTATTACACTAGTATAATGAAGGGAAGCAAAGCCTTGCAAGAAGGGGTTGTGACAAAGGGGTTATAATTACACTGTTATAATGTAGGGAAGGAAGGCATGGAAAAGACTTGTCTTGGCAAAGTGGTTTAAAGTTCCTCCGCTTTCCCCTGAAAAGGAATGAGGCCCACAGTAATCTTGGCTTTTGGATATTGAAATTTGAATATATATATATAGGGGGTGGGGTAGGGAGGAGCAAACCATGTGATGGTTCCAAATGCGGGCAACAACAGGCAAAAATGTGAAGAGAGAAACGTGTGATGGGAATACAGAACTTGAAGGGGAACTATTGGGAATCTAACTGTATGATTCCTTTTGCTAGACAGACGGTCCCCAACACTTCTCAAGGTACATGTGATGAGGTCCTTAGACTCACGTATGCATCAGTATTGATGTATATAGACATACATGCTGCTATGTTTACGCCAGACAGCATCTAATGCAGGGTTTCTCATTCTGGATTAAAAGTGATTGAGGCTGAAAAAACAATAAACTTCTTGTTTTTGTATTAGGCATTGTAGTAGACATATTATTCTTTTATTTAGAAATTCTTCAGATCTGATCATTATTTAATGGGTTCCACCAAGGTATACAGGTTGAGAAAATCTGCTCTAATACCAGTTGTCCAATTCTGCATCTCTTTCTTCATTTGATCACCTTATTGTTCTTGTTAAAATCAATTGTAATAAAATGAAGTGAGAGGCCAAAACCAACACAGTTTAGTCACTTTAGATAATCTTCGTTATCTATTTACATGTGTTTCTGCAACTTTAGTGGAAATTAGTTTCCAGGTAATTGGACATACACTTGATGGCATTAAAAATATTATAATTGAAGTCATCCCTTCTCCAGCCCAGGTTTCTATTTCTAATCAGATGCAAGGCACCTGATCTCTCTGACACCAAGAGATCTACACCTTAGAATTAATGCAGTTTGACATGACTTTAACTGCCATGACTTAATGCAATGGAATCTTGTAATTTGTAGTTTGATGAGGCAGTGGTTCTGTTTGGCAGAGAAAGCTGATGACCTTGCAAAACTACAAGCTCCATGATTCCAGGGTATTGAACCATAGCTATTAAAGTGGTGTAAAGTTGTATTAATTCTAGAGTGTAGATGCATCTACCTCTGAAAGTAGAAAATTCATCTGGCTGTTATTGTGCTTCATGGAACACTGATTGCACAGTCTTAACACATTTTTTATTTTAATTTGTATGACAACATTCCTGATCAGCTTCTTAATCTTTCTTAATGGCCAGCCTTTTAAAGTCAAGAAGGCCTAATTTTTCAGATCAGGTTACAAGAGTCTGAGAAGGCAAGTGACCCAGGGCCATCATTACCTGGGTGCACACTTTGAACATTCTGAATCATACCAAATTATTCCCTCCTTCTTTGAAACAACAATAAGGCAACTCATGAGTTCACCTTTAATCTCAAGGGCACATTGTGAGGATTGTTTTGCTTGAGTATATTGCCAGGTGACTAGAATAATCTTAGCCCTCTACCTTTTCAAAATATGAAGGGAACATAAGCAGGACCTGAGACCCACACCGACTTGGAAATAATAGGTGTTGATGTGTTTTTTGTCCAAATAATGAGCCATATGGCATTCTAGAAGCTTCCCAAAGGGCATACCTGCTGTGCAAAGTATGCTGGTCAAGATTTTTGCTGCACCCCAGGAAACCACATGAATCAGCTTGGTGGGAGGAAGCAAAAGTGTACAGCTCATTCTTTTCCACCTCCAGAAAATGGGCTTGATTCACTCGTTCACTACCCTGGAGCTAGAAGCATAATATTCCATTATTATTCACACAGCGGGGCAGGGGGTGGGAGATGAAAAGTGAAAAGTACAGCCCTCAGAATAAAAAGCATTAGCTTGAAACGCAGTGGCATTCTGATGCAACTGAAAAGCATTTTTCCATTACAGGGATTGTAATTGCTACATTATGGGGGCTAAGAATATTGTTTTTAAAAAAAAATCCTCTCTACCACCACAGGAATATAACATCAATCTTTCAAAAATACATTGTAAAAAGCATGTTTCATTAGCATGGATTCAAACTGTACTTTCAAAATTGCATGATATCTGCAGGGGATGTAACACTTGTTTTAAAGGGCCAGGAAAGAGTTGAGAGTCTCATAATGAACATAATGAGCTCCGAAATGAAGCAGCAATGGCAACAAATACAAGATGAAGTGCAAGGATGTCCCTTCATGTTGGTCAGGTTATTGGGAATTCGTATATCTCCTTTTCATAAGATTGACTATATTTCATATATACATACATACACACAGTATATAACACTTTTATTTAAGCTTCTAAAAAACAGGTAGGTAAGAATGCTTCTACAGACAGACTGAGGCATCCTTTGGATGCAGCTTCTGATACAGAACATGTTTATATAATTCTGAGTACAGTGCATATAGTAACAATCCCTTAAAGTATGACATGTTTTAAAGCTACTTGTTTATTTCGATGTCCTAAACTGATTCTGAGTTAAACAAGGGGTACGATTACCAACCTCAGATCTGACATGTGACAAAAAACATGGGCAAACCGTTTTTTCTTTGCGTCCCCCATCATTAAGAGCGTTATACATCTTGTTGGCTCCTAGGGTGAATCTACACTGTAAAATGTAGATGGTTTGATACCACTTTAGCTGCCATGGCTTAATGCTAAGGAATCATGGGATTTACAGTTTGCACCATTTAGCAGAGAAGGCTAAAGAGGCATTTTAAAACCACTGTTAGAGTACCGTTAGTAGCCTGCAGAATGTCTTAGCCTTTTACTCTCTGTATGATAAAAACTCAAAAATACACACAAGTCTGTTGCTTTAAGTAGAAACAAAAATATAGTTCTATTCACTGTAGATCAAAAACACAAAGCAAACCAGAATAATTGTTCTCACCAATATACAACAAACAATATCCCCAGTGAGTCTTCTACTTCTACTTAGTTATCAGTAGTGAAAGGGTTAACAGAACTTAGAGGTGTTCAAAATGCTGAAATGCAAACCTAAAGAGGGGTTTGTCCCTCTCCTCTGGTCTGCAGAAGACCAAAGGCCAAGAGGAGATAATGTATCTAGAAGACACAAGATGCTCTACTGTCAAGTACGCCCAGGGTGGGTTAACACCCAAAATGCTTATCTGTAACAATAATGTGTGTGTTTACATAGTTTGTAGAAGGTTATCAGTTAGAGACACTGAAGTACTAAAATATGAGAAAAACATGTTTTTGAATGGTTGATCCAATAAGAGAGGTGTGTGCCCATGACACAGTGAAAAGATATGTATATAAGGTGACTAAAAGATCCAAATTGGAGAGACAGCCTTCTTTGAAGACACTGGTCTTGGCTGTTTCTCCGTGTGGCCACACTTGAATAAAGATTTTGCTTCACCTACGGGGAGGGACTGCTTGCTTTCTGTCACCAGCCTTGGGGTGCCTAACTAAAGGGGTACCCTTCAGTTTGGGGGCTCGTCCGGGATCCAGCGCCCCCTGGTAGTGACAAATCAGAAGGCAATCAGAGACTGTTGGCAGTCCGTTCTGAGAAAGACAATCGCTGCCCAGGTCAGGGCAGACCAAAGGGAGGTGAGAGGGTACTCGACTCAACTGACCACCTCCTTTGCTCATCCAAGACCTCTGCAGGTTTCGTCTACGGAAATGCTCTGAAAAAGGGAAGTCTAAAAATCTACCCCCCAAGGAGGATCGGGCTTGAAGTGCTGACGACAGGAACCAGGCGAGTATAGTTTTGGGTTCCTAGTTTTAGGGGAGAGTGAAAGAAGCCTAGACTAGAGAGAGAAAGACGCATCAGAAGGGTGGGAGGAGAAATTGTCTGTGTGTGAAGGTTGTAACAGCTTCAGGTCATCGGAAAA